TTTGGATTTTTATAGAATCCATATGGAATCCCTAAATAGTTTTGAAAGTGGACATAAGATAAAACCCCAAATTACTCAGGCTTCACTTGTGAGAGTAATGTGCCATGGATTTCATTGGAAGCAAATTGTATGATCTCTGAAAACATCTTTTACCCCAGACAGATGGAAATGAACAAGTCTGCCAATGTCTTTCATCCACCAATCAAAACCCCTCACAAACAAGCCCTGCAGTTTTATTTATTGTGACTTTTACATGTTATTTTTACTTTGAGAGCTCAGAGCAGTTTATGGGGGAATGAGAATCTCCCACTTTGATCTCTACAATTGCAATGCTTTGAAGTATGTTGGAAGGAAAGAAATTGACAAAAATCATTTCCTGAACTCCAGATGGTAAAGTCTGAGCCTCACTTTCTCCAGCCCCATCTAACCCCTTCATCATTGTTCTACCCTCATGCATCTAACAAAAGAGCCTCAGAAAGGTATGCATACTCTTCTCCTAATATGCTGATGAGAAAATTGTCTGGAAGAAAGAAAGAAAAAAATACACACAAAGCTCTGTAAACCAATAATTTGCCAATGACATCAAGTTGACCACCTAGTAATCTCCTTAGGGCTTTACCTCCAGGCATTTGAAGCTGGAGTTTGAAGAATGGACTCTATTTTTTCATTTTTTTTATTTATTCATGCTCCTGCACATTCCCTTGGTGACTGCAAGGAAGAAAGAAAACATATTTGTAGATAAAAACGACTTCCAGGAAAGATGTAAGCAAGGAGCAGGGTCATTGATCCTGCATCTCTTAGTTGTCCCCATCTTCTGTTATCAGAACATCAGCTTCATCATACAGCACCTGAATGTGAAGGGTCATTATAGAATCGTTGGCTCCATTGAAAAAAATATGCTTCACCAACTTGGTCAAAGTCCTAATGGGCCACATCCAGACAATATGTGAAGCTTGAATAGAATTATCGTTATTAGTATTGCTCTGGTTTCGTGTTTGCTACACACCAGTTTGTTTGAGTTTGTGGCTCAGTCTGCTTTACGAAGTCAACTACATAGTAACCAGGCTAGGCAGGTTGTAGGAACACAACATAGAATGGTCATGGTCTCAGAGCAGAGGTGGTATTCAACAGGTCCTTGTTAGAGTTTGCAGCAGAAATTCATGTCCAGGAAACCAGTTCTGGAGAACCAGTAGCGGAAATTTTGAGTAGTTTGGAAAACTGGCAAATACCACCTCTGACTGGCCCTGCCCCCATCTATTCTCTGCCTCCTGAGTCCCAGCTGATCGGCTGGGTCTTCTTTTGTTGCCCTGCACAGGAGAACAGAGCTGGAAAGCAGGTTAGTGGGGTGGGGAGGGAATGGGGATTTTGCAGTAATCTTCTCCCAGGAATAGGGAAGGAATGGAGATTTTACAGTATCCTTCCCCTGGACTGGGGTGGGAATGGAGATTTTGCAGTATCCTTCCCCTGCCATGCCCACCAAGCCAAGCCACTCCCACCAAGCCATGCCCACAGAACTGGTAGTAAAAAATTTTTAAATCTGACTCAGAGATTATCTAGAGGTGGATGTGGAAGTTTTCCAGGCCCTTCTGAGGCCCTTCTATGACAACAAAGTCTTCTCTCCTGAGTGAGTCTGTTTCCCTGTTGAAACAGGTCTCCACTAGGATTCCTCTGCCCCCAGCATTTACCTGAAATTTCATTTATTTATTTAGTAAACTTATATGCCACCCATCCCATTGTTACTCATTCTTACAATGTTACAAGAATGTACTTTTTGTGATTTCTATCTAGGCATCATTGCTTCTAACCAGGGGTGGGATGCTACCAGTTCGCACCTATTCACTAGAACCGGTTGTTAACATTCTAAGCAGTTTGGAGAACCGGTTGTTAGAAGAAATTACTGCCCTAATCCTGTAAGGAAGGCAGGAAGGAAACATTCTGGTGTTGCTTATAGAAACTCTCTCTCCATTAACCCTCGTTACATTCTTGGCAGGACTAGACTTCCTGTCTCAGCAATGTCTCTGGAGTTTTTTCCCCCTCCTTTGTTGGTACTTTGCTTGTGTGGAGTGTTCAAAGTTACAATGGCACTGAAAAAAGTGACTTATGATCATTTTTCACACTTACGACTGTTGCAATATTCCCACAGTCATGAGAGGCCAGGCGAGGAGATGCATGCCTCGATGTGAGTGATGTTGAGTTGGCCACGCCCAGCCAGTCACATGACCACCAAACCATGCCCACCAACTAAGCCACGCCCACAGAACCGGTTGTTAAAAAATTTAAATCCCACCCCTGCTTCTACCATTGAAGGAATTTTCACAGGGACAGTTTGTCACACAGTAATTTTGCAAAAGCAAAAAAAAAAAAAAATAATAATCTTTAAACATTTGTAATTTTTTTAAGGAACAGGCCAAGGAATCTTGGCTATACTGCTCTCAGGATGGATAAATTGTCCTGTTTGGTTTTTGTTTCCACCTCATGTTTTGCATTTGTTTAACTCCCTTTGTGTATCACTCAGAGATTAATTTCACATCCACGCACAAAGGAATGCCATTTTTTGGCTGCAATTCCAACGTACATTTTTTTCAGCAAGGACAAATGACTTTCTGGCCAGCATTTCCTCCTTAATATTATGTATTGTGTACATTCTTTTCATTAAAGTGTCCCTTTTCACATATTTTTTTCAATACCATAATAATGTTGTTTTCTGAAAAAATGCAGACTGCTTTTGGAAATATGAGTTGGTTTGATGATTGATGTGAGAAATCACTTAAATGTCCCTTGGATGAAATGGGCGGTGTAGAAATTTAATGAATAAATATGAATGTGGTCAATTCTTTTTTTAAACTAATTTTATTAAAACTTTTAATTACAATAGCAAAAGATAAAAAAGGTAAAAGTGTCCTTGCAGATTTTATTCTGCAGGTTATTGACAACTCTAGGAATGGTGCTCATCTCCACTTCAAGTCCATTAAACCAGTGCTGTCCGAAGACATTTCTTTGGTCATGTGGCCGGCATGGCACCACAGAGAACTGTTACCTTCCCACTGAAGTGGTACCTGTTTATCTACTCACATTTGTGTGCTTTTGAATTGCTAGGTGGACAGGAGCTGGGGTAAGGACTGGCGCTCACCCATCGCGTGGTGCTTGGGTTTCAAACCTGGGCTGCCAGTTTTCCCACTGACAACACCAGCATCTTAACTGCTGAGCTATTACGCCCACCTAGTAAAAAATAATTCAAACTAAAAAAGAAAAGAGAGAATAAAAGATGCAAGAAAATGAAAATGAAAGAAAGAAGGGAAAAAGTCCCCAAGAAAGTGATTTCCCCCCTCATCATGACAAGCATAAACAATTTCAGTCTATTCACCTCTTTTTAGTTAGCAGATATGAAACTCTTCCTGCTATAACTCAACTTCTAATAGGCAAATCCAATAAGTAACAGTCTTCTCCAATCCAGCTATCAGTTAGGAATAATGTATGAACGTGAACAGATGTTTCTGTCCTATTGCTACATTTGTTTACTTTGATGGTGCTATGGAATTATGCAAGCAAGCCTGTTGATGCTCCCAGCTCATTGATTTAATTAGCTTGTCTTGACTGACTCCTCTCTTATTGCTGGTGCTAAAGCCTAGATGAGCACTGAGAACCCTTTAACTTTTCAGTAGAGTTTTTCATACCTGGGGTCTTGCTGGGCTATGATTAAATCTTATGGCTCTTTTCCTCCACAATTTGGTGACTGCACACTTAAAAAGTTATTGGGGCACTATTCCTTACCATGAAATGTTACTGGTTTATCTAGTGAAGAGAAGAACCAGGGGAGACATGATAACAGTGTTCCAATATTTGAGGGGCTGCCACAGAGAGGAAGGGGTCAAGCTATTTTCCAAGGCACCTGAAGGCCAGGAATAATGGATGGAAACTGAACAAGGATTCAACCTAGAAATAAGGATAAGTATTCTGACAGTGAGAACAATCAACCAATGGAACAGCTTGCTTTCAGAAGTTGTGGGTGCTTATCACTGGAAGCTTTCAAGGGGAGATTGGACTATCACTTGCCAGAAATGGTGTAGGGTCTCCTGCTTAGGCAGGGGGGTTGGACTAGGTGACCTACAAGGTCCCTTCCAACTCTGATTATCTGTATCTGTATCTCTTTGCCTTTCATTACAGCCTAGATCTCTTTTTTAACCTCTAGAGATCGATGAGAAATGAGCAGGTAATGAAGAATGTGGAGCTGTTGACTAACTACAGTAGTATGACAATAGCGTTAACATCAGACCTTCTTAAACATTATTGAAAATTAAGATATAGAACATTTCACTACCCTTGCATGCTTCTTTTAAAAAATCCATATAACAGCAAACTATGTATTAGGCCCACAAGGACATCATCTCCAATTAAGGTTCTATTTTAGGCCCAGTACTCAACATCTTCATAAACGATTTAGATGAAGGAATAGAAGATGAACTCATAAAATTTGCCGATGACATCAAGATGTCAGGAATAGCCAATACCCCAGAAGATAGCCTCTGGATCCAAATGGATTTCGACTGGGCCCTATCTAACAAAATGAAATTCAATGTAGCAAAAATAAGGTTTTACACTTAGTCAAGAAAAAAAAAAACAAATGTACAGGTACATATCAGATGAAATGTAGGTAAGTAGTAACTGTGAGAGGGATCTTGGAATCCTAGTGGACAATCACTTAAATATGAGCCCGCAGTGTGCTACAGCTGCCAAAAAAACCAATGCAATCCTAGGCTGTATTATAGAGGGATAGAATCAAGATCATGGGAAGTGTTAGCACTATTTTATAAACCCTTGGTAAAACCATACTTGGAATATTGCATCCCATTTTGGCCACCACAATACAATATAAAACAGATATTGAGGGTGCAGGGAAGGGCAACAAAGATGATTGGGGGGCTGGAGGCTAAAGCATATTAAGAACGGTTGCAGGGATTGGGTATGTCTAGTCTAGTGAAAAGAGGGACTAGGAACAATATTCCAATATTTGAGGGGCTGTCACAGAGAAGAGGGGATCAACCTATTTTCCAAAGCACCAGAAGGCAAGACAAGCAGCAGTGGATGAAAACTAATTCAGGAGAGAACCAACGTAGAACTAAGGAGAAACTTTCTGACAGTGAGAACAATAAACAATAAATGGAACAGCTTGCCTTCGGAAGTTGTGGGAGCGCCATCAGTTGAGATTTTCAAGAAGAGACTGGACAGCCATTTGTCTGAAGTTGTATAGGGTCTCCTACTTTAGCAGGGATTGGATTAGAAGAACCTCCAAGGTCCCTTTCAACTCTGTTATTCTGTTATTCAGAATGAAGAGTCAAAGTCATCAAAACGTAAAAACAGATTGTGAACTATTAGGGCAGCACAGATACAATTTCTATCCCTTGTTTGATGGGTTATAATATGACAATAACCCATTTGATTGGTTTATGATCCAGTATGCAAACACAAAAAAGGAACTGATTCAGTGACCAGGTAAAGAGTAATGTGTGAAAGTAGTTAACAGTTATTTCAGTTGGAGAGAATAACAGTTTTGGCATAATTAGCTGAAAAAGTATACCGTTGCGCTTAGTCCAAATTTATTTCCATTATATTATCATTTAGCCATCCTGCTATTCAGGATTCCAGTTTGGCTGAAATCTTCCAGTATTTAATGATATTAGCTTTCAACTGTTGAGGGCAAAAACAACCTTGAAAGCTGATTGGGGTGCATAGGGCTGTTACTGAGAAATCTATGAAAAAGGAGTTGAGCTCTTGGAAGAGAAGAAAAAAAAAGCATTTATATTTATTATGAATATTGTTGGCTAACAATACCGGCACTACAATACTTTCTGCTTCTCTGTGTGATTCTGACTAGTGGATTGATTGACATTGATTATGTGCCAATGAAGCACATTTTCCCCTCCCAATGACCACATAGGTAGAAGAAAAGATGGTCCACAAAAAACAGAAATGAAACCAAAGGCCGTGAATACAGGACAGGTAGTCCTCAACTTACAGCAGTTCATTTAGTGACCATTCAAAGATACAACGTCACTGAAAAAAGTGACTGAAAAAGTCACTGAAAAAAGTGACTTATGACCGTTTTTCACACTTACGACCATTGCAGCATCCCCCTGGTCCCATAATCAAAATTCAGACACTTGGCAACTGGCTCATATTTATGATGGTTATCCTGGGGTCATGTGATCACCTTTTGCTACCTTCTGACAAGCAGAGTCAATGGTGACACTGTATTCACTTAACAACCGTGTGGCCAACAGTGTGATTCACTTAACAACTGTGGAAAGAAAGGTTGTAAAAGGGGGCAAATTTCACATAACAACTGCCTCGCTTAGTGACATGAATTTTGGGCTCAACTGTGGTCATAAGTCAAGGACTACCTGTACAAGGAGAACGTGGTACTTTCATGAGAGTGAAAGAGAGAATCTAATTTTGTTGGTGATCTTTGTTTTGCTGAATCCACTTTTCTTCTCCCCATTTATGAAAACTCAGGCATGTTCACTTCTTCATTTCATTCCCTTGCCATTCTTAGGACATAATGGGAGCTGGGGAATGGAGCACTGTTTTTCTGATGAAAAACAAGACGACACAATAACCATTCCTCTATTTCGACTGAGCCTGTATTAAGAAAGAAAATCATCACATGAATTCATTTCCTAACCTTATAAAGCAGACAAGTTCCAGAAAACAGTTTTGCTTTGACCCTGAATCTGGGATTTCTGTGCCTCCAATCATATGACAGCACAGCTAATGGCCGGAAATGATGGGAGTTATAGTACATTACTGCCTAAGCAAGGACTTACAGTGTGGTGTTTGTTGTACACTCCTCCTACATTATTATAATAGAAGAGATGGAACGGAAAAAGAAAAAGGAATTATATTAAGGAGAAAAGGATGACAAGATATGGTTTGCAAGTTGTTTTGGAGAAACCAGTACATGAATGGCACAACAAATCAGAAAGATTGTGCTCCCTCTGACTTTCTCTAAGAAATTCTTGAAGATGCAAAGAATATCAGGAATAAAAAAAGCTGTGTTACCAAAAGCACATCGTTACATATAGGACAATACTTTTCAGGTGTGACTACAGGTAGAGTTTTGATCATACTGCTATCTTGATTTTGTTGATCATGCCTACAAACATTTCTGATATTTTCCCTATCTTTGAAGTTCCCAATGTTGGGATTCTTCAGGCTGAAGAAAAATTCCCTGTTTCCCCTCTTAGAACTAACATGGAGATCTGTTTCAGAACATTCTCACTTAATATAGCTTGTTTAATCACAGGGCAGGGTGGTGTAATACTATCAATCAAAAATAGTCAGGGACTAACTACAACCGCAAATCATATAAATATGCAACAGACATTTATCAGGATTTTAAAAACCTGCCACAGGAGATCCTTGATTTCATAAAAGTGCCAGAAAACTGATTTGAGAAGAGAAATGTATTTTGACTTAGAATGTGTAACTATTTGGGTGTAGCCATACAATAATTAAATGAGTAAAATACATCCTTTCATATTTATAAATATGGATTCTTTTTAACATGTAAGAAGAATTCTGATGCAGTAACAATAAAACTTTATTCTACTCACGATAAATGGGGTGCAACCAAAGCTAGGGATGGGGAAGACATGCATTTAAGTCAACTAACCAGAGCAGTTTACAGAATTGTAGTATAACAGAGTTTGAAGGGACTTTGGAGGTCTTCTAGTCCAACCCCCTGCACAAGCAGGAGACCCTCTACTATTTCAGACAAATAGCTGTCCATTAAAAAAAAACCTCCAGTGATGGAGCATCCACAACCTCTGCAAGGAAGGTGGTTTATTTATTAATTGTTCTCACTGTCAGGAAATTTTTTCTTAATTCCAGGTTAGATCACTCTTTGATAAGCTTCATTGTTACTTCTTGCCTGCCTTCTGGAGAATAGATTGACCCCCCCTCACTGTGAGAGTCATCCCTAGTCCTTCTCTTCATAAGAAGTTAGTTTGTTTCGTTGAGTTGGATAGCCATGTAAAAACTGTAAATACTATAAATATTATTTTTAATGTGAATTCATCCATTTTCATCCAACACATGAACTGAAACCTAATTATTCAGTATTTACAATTTTTCCATTTTTGCAGTGCAGTTTCCCGAGATACCTGCATATACACACATATGAAATACATATATTCTGTACAATAATAAATTGGGATGGCAGCATCCGTTTCTTCCTCTTGTGATTTAAAATCTGAAAAATGTTGGCATGGTGCTATTGAGTAGGCACGTTTAATCTGTGCCCTTTCTAACCGTCTGTGACTGTTTTTCCCTGGACACATTTATATGTTATCGCATCACATCAACTAATAGTTGCAGACCTGTGTGCATTTCTCTTTCCACAGCCTCTAATATTTTTATTCTCTCTTGTCTAGATCATCCAACATTTTACAAAATTTCTTTTCTTACTTAGGTCTTTTTGATGCTATGTTCATTATTCATTTCACATCCCTTACTCTTCAACAGAATCATAAATAAGAGAGAGAGAGAGAGAGAGAGAGAGAGATGGAGAAAGAATGAGAATATTATATTTTGTTTTGTTGAAAATGTTAGATGATCTACTGTACCATTGGTTACCCTGCAGCTTGTTCTGACTTAGCCTCCAGTGCCAGGGCAAAAAAAATATGTTTGTTATATAGTTTGTTTCGTAAAGCAGGAAACAGTTTCATTAGTAGGAAAACTTATGCCTCAGCTTTCCAACCACCCAAAGAAATTCAAGTTGGTTTGAAGATTGATTGGCTTGTCTTCTGTGTGCAAGAAAAATCATCACTTTCTTTTCACTGATGAAAACCCTTTCTAGCTCTCAGCCATTTGGTCTTTTGGTGGAAAAACTCAACTTTACCATTTCTGTTTTTCAAGTTCATTGTCACTTGGTGACCAAGAATTCAAGAAATGACTAGGAGTCATTTAGTGTGCCTAGGAGTAAATATTTAACTCACACTACTAATCAAATACTATCTAATTAGACTAGCTAATTAGCCACCCCCAGCCTGACCTCCTTCAGATGTGCTGAACTATGAACCTATAAGTCCTATTTAGCAGGAGCTGTAGCTAAGGTAGCTGAGACTCATGGGCTAAAACATATGGGGAAAATGGATTTATTCTAAGAAGAGCATGGTGATGGAAGCCAATTCTCCTGCTCTAGGTTATGCATGGCCTCTCTTTGAAATTTCCATCTTGGCATTATTTCATTTACTTTGCCTGGCATCAGCTTTCTAACACCTATATCAGTAACTGCTGAACTTTAGAAGGAAACATTTCTGCAAAGATTAATCCAGATTTGGACTTTCTCCACTAATTGGACCTGCTGGATAGGAAGATGTGCAATCAGATTTCTCTTGAAGCCAGTCTTTACTTAAGCATCCAATTCTACTTTAGCTCTGCAATATGACTTTGAGCTTTTCTGATTTGGCCCTAAGCTCCAGTTCTTTTCTCATGCTAAAGAGTTGTCTCTGGCTCAACTAGCATGTTGTCCAAGACAGACTGGGCCTGAAAGAAAGTTTCTCAAGCCCACTGAAAGGGCTTCAAGAGATGTGGTTCTTGGCTTGAAACTGGATATGACTGGATCCAGTTTGATTGGATAACTCCCTATGTGGCTTTCTGCCCTGTATTCAAGGATGATGATGATAAGTAGGAGTGGTGCGGTGGCCTAGAGGTGGAGCTCTCACCTCACAATCGGGAGGCTGTGAGTTCGATCCTAGGTAGAAGCAGATATTTCTCTCTCTGGGCACAATGAGAATATATCTGCTGAACAAAACTTCACATTGGCAACAGGAAGGGCATCCAGCCAGTAAACACTCTGCTAGCTCCATTCAGTTGCCCAGACTCCACCCCCTAAGGGATTATGGAGTCATTAAAAGAAGAAGAAGATAAGTACAGCCTTCAACATTTGATGGGCTGAATCCAAAATTTCCCCAGCCAAATGTATCATATACATACACACCCATACACCATTGTTCACTGCTTGCCTTTTCTATGATTAGCCTAAAAACTGTTATTCCTTGTGTGTTTCTATACTTGCATTCACCCAACACGTTTAACTTGGTTGCTCAACTAGCCTATGTTATGAACCGTAAACTAACAAAATGAACTGGTTTTATACCATATACTAAGATTTCTAGTCTTCCTATTTCCATTTCATCCACTGAATTTAATAACAGGGCAACAAGTGTGCTTAATTCCACTAGTACAGAGATTTCACCGGATGTCCTCCTGCCAGCTATGGTAATACAGTCATTCTCCTTTATTTTTTTCCATCACCCCATGGAAAGAATATAATTTCTCCAACATGAAGGCCAATGTTTCTGTCATAAAATAATGGCTGGTTGTTGATCATTTGGAGAGATAAAGATCCTTTAATGTTACTTCCACTGAAGATATCTACTCCCACCCATCCAATTCTATTATTGAAGGACAGAACATTATCAAATTCTCCCTTTGAACTTTTTTTTTTAAAAACAAATCTCCAAACAACCAGAATTTTGTGTCTCAGAGCCAAGGCTTAGACCTGAAATCCCACAGTGGAAATACTGATTAAAGAACTTTGTAAGCCTGCAAACAAGGGATAGATTTTCCTCCGCTGAAAATTTAATCTCTTTGGTGGCCTTTCTTTCTGCTGAAAACAAATTTACTGCAGCAAAGAGCACTGTTGTTCACTCCACAGTTTATTTGTCGTGTCAGGTTAGAGTATGCAGTTAACTTAATTTGCCACCAAAAAAATTGGACTGAAGGAACACGGTTGATGACAAGTTCATGCATTTCTTTAAGTACCAGCATCCTGAAGGGCTTGTGGGTAGGGTCACTTGTTATCATGGAAAAGCAGGTGGTGGGAAAGGAGGTGTAATTTGCATAATAGGACCTGTAGTAGGAGGGAAGTAACTCCGCATGCTTCATGATGTCAACATGTGATGACATTGGCATACAATTCATGTAATTTGTGCAATAGTATCGTCAGGATTCCGGCAGTTACCCCAATTAAATCTTGAGCCAAACTTCCAAAACTACAAAGGATTTATTGGAAGTTAACATGTCGGCATGACCTGGATGTAGCTGACTCTGAGACACATAATTCACTGTCATCCTTGACCCTGGTTTTCTCCCACCCCTCTGGGTATATCATAATTCATATTCTCCAATGAAACATGTCCATGGCTAAGAGTCATCAATCATGTTCTCCAATTAGTTTTTTGCATGGCAGAAACTTCGGTCGCCTAGTTACAATCTCTAAAAAAATATGAATGGAATGCACTTTCATTTCCAAACTGCTGCACTGCTCTTTCAAACTCCTCCCCCCCTTTTTGTTAGCAACTATAAAATGGGCATAGAAATGTTTTATGAGTTGACAAGTATTATGGTCCACATGATATCGTGTTTATTATTGCAGGAAAGCAACAATGATCATAATAATCGATGTAGCAGAACCAGGGGATAGTAAAACAAAGTCAAAAAATTATAGATCACAAAGATCTGAAAATTGAAATGGAAAGAATATGGTAGTCCCACTAGTTATCACCACACTGGGTGCCATATCAAAAAATCTTGATACTTAGAAAATCTGTGCCTTTACAAAATTTTCATCTGTCAATTGCAAAAGGCCACACTGCTTGGATCTGCACATATACCAAGTTGATACATTACAACATCCCTGGGTCTTGGGAAGGACTTGATGCATATGAAGGCCAACACCATCTAAAAAAACTGGCAACTGTTGCACCACTGAAAATAAAATAAAATAATGAGACATGGCAAGGTAAAGCATTACATGGCCAATGCACATAAAACTAGCAAGCAAAGCAGATAACAGCAAGACCTGGCAATGCTAAGAGCAGGAAAGTTGAAGAAAGACACAGAGGGGCTAATTCTGGCTGCACAAGACCAAGCCCTAAGAACAAATGTATACGAGGCCAGAACTGAGAAGACAGCACCAGATAGCAAATGACATATCTGCAAAAAAAGCTAAAGAAACAGTTATCCACCTTGTTAGCTGCTACAAGAAGATGACCCAGACTGATTACAAACAATGGTGCATTAGAATATCTCCAAGGAATGCCATTTGCCTGCAAGCAAGAACTGGTGAGACCATCAAATAGAGAAAGCAATAGAAAATGAAGAAGGTAAAGGGCTCTGGGACTTTGGGATTTAAACAGAAAAAAGCTTGCCACATAAACAGCCCGGTTTTAACAACTGTTGATAAGAAAGACAAAGTCTGAATATAGGAATACCTGGAGATAGCAGAAGAGAAGAGAAAGAACTGGAAAAAATAACAAAATATGAAGACCTGTAAATAGAAGTAGAGCAATTGTGACAAAAGATAGTAAAGATCCTAAAACATCTGGAGCCCCAACTGAACACCATCAGCCTTGAGAAAATCCCCATCAATTGCAAAAGGCAGCTTTACGTGGAAAAGCTTACATCCTGCGATGATACCTTTAACATCACCAAACAACCACATCTGCCTATCACAGGTCCTTGGGAAGGACTTGATAGGTGGATAAAAATGCCAACTTCACTCTAAACATCTGGCTCACTGTGAGACAAACCATAGTAGTAACTGACCACCTTCTGATTCTCATCTCCTCACAAAACTCCAGTGGTAAATCAGATGGATTTATGCATGAGGCTCAAATTTATTGAAGTGGCTTCCCCTGCTGCCCCTTCTTCAGTGCTTTATTGATATACATGGAAATTGATGAGAGACACCCTGGTAGAGAGAAATAGCAAATAAACTGAAAAAGCAGTTCAAGGTTTTCTTTTGTTTTTACCCCAGAGATGGAGTGGTTTACTGGTTTTGAATGCAATGCTAGCATTAATATGCAGATCTGGGTCCTATGCAGCTATCTTGTTCCCAGTGTCTTTAATTTGCTACCTTTATTAATTTTTTAAAATTATTCCTTGTTGTGCTAGAGATGGATTTATATGACTGCCATGTACTTAAAAATGTATTTAAAAAAACTAGTTCCTTTTAGTTAAAACCTGAGAAAGTGAATCTTCTGTTTTCAAGATTCCAAGGGAAACAGAAACATGTTCCCATCTGAGAAGAGGTGGTATCAGCTTGGCATTCTGCCTACTGGAATTCTTTCACCTGAGAAAACAGCTGCATTCAAATACTTAGGCATGCTGGCTGGGGAATTCTGGGAATTGAAGTCTACACACCTTAATGTTGACAATGTGTGCCATGGGTAGTCTGAGAAACATAAACAAATGCTTCATAAATAAAGTGCCTAGAGTCATGCAAGTGTGATGGGTGGTATAAGACTTTGATAAGTAAGTAAGTAAGTAAGTAAGTAAGTAAGTAAGTAAATACTGGAGGAAGATAAATGGCAAACCGCTTCCATACTCTCATCCAGAAATCTACATGGATGTGTCTCAGAAGTCTCCAGAAATCAAGATATTTTCTACCAAACCAAACCAAACCCAACACAACCCAAGCATTCAGTTAATCAAATTTAAATCAAGTCTAGGAAGAATTTTTCTGAAATGTCTAAATTTAAGGAAGGCATCTAATAATCCATAAAAACATAGGAGGCATTTTGGAGGAATCATAATTTTTACAAAAATGTCTTTAACAGAATGTGTAATAATACTGAAAAATGCCCCTTTGATACAATATCCAAGAAAGAAAGTTTGGTTTTTGTAGGACTTGTGGTATGCAAAAACCATGCACAATGTTGCAATTGATTTAACGTCAGTTGTCTGCACTGATCGATTTTTACTTCTGGATTATACCACATGTAACTGTAGCTTTGAACGCCATGCCCTTCAATGAACATCAGATGCTCAG